CTGTAAACTCATGTCTCTGCAAGCTCCGAGCTATCCTAGCGCGCATAACCTAGCCAATGTAGTCCCTCATAACCACACATGTCCACACCAGTTTGCAACGACCGCATACCCATTATCTGCAGTTGAATATCCATTATCGTTATCGAAATTTGGTAGTGTTGTCTCATTTAAGTAGTTAGGAATTGTGACTACTTTTGACTGCCTGTTATTTTAGTTGAGATTTTAACTCACCTCGAAGTGCAGACCTTTTTTGATAATTTTTTCCCATTTTGAGTCCCCATTGTAGACACGGCAGTCATATTGCCTCGTTCCATCAGTAGCAATGAACCACCGTATGCCCTTGATGAACCCAAGAATATTCCATATACAATGACAATTCTAAACGGCTCATCCAAGATGTTCATCTGCGGGCTGTCTGCAAACCCGGTTACGGCGTTGCGATGACGGTAATGCGACTACCATACCCAGTTTGATTGATTTAATCGTAGTTCACCCCATTTATGAAATATTTCTCAAACGAGCGTGTTGCTAGCACCCAAAAGGCCGTCTCAATCCATTTAATTTTCGCAAGTGCTTGGAAGTAGTGGCCACTTAATTGTGCTACCAGCCTGTTCTGCCCACAAACCCAGTCGTTCATTCACTTGATGGCCCGGTGTATCGGTGAAGACCAAACCTTGCCTTCAGCCGTATATAACGTGTGCTGGTCATCGTAAAAAACAAAAAACTTTCCAGCTATAACGAATTTCTTGGCTTCGGCTGGACACCTTCCAAAACGATGCAATAAATTTTCATATGCAAGTTAGGAATTGCCGCTCCATTTTAAGTTCGCGCAGCAAGAGAAGGTGCCTGATTATTGTCTTTGTCGTCTTGATATTTTTCCAAATCTAATAAGTAAAAAACGTAGGAAAACAGCTTTTCCACAGAACTTCTCACCGTTATCATATAGACAATGCGCGAAGCCACCGACAGCCGCCGAAATACGCATTTCATGCCCGCATTGGACCCCGAGTTCGTCTGGACAAATTCTAACAAAACTGGGGCCGCACGTGGAGATCTTAAGGATCCGAATATTTACCTTCAAAAATATTCCTTCCTTCGAACAACGGTTTTAGAGATAATTAGGGTGCGCGTCTAAGGCTAAGCGACTTCCGCCATAGGTTCACAGGTTTTCCTCCGCCACTGGCTGCTCTAGCCACATTGTAATGGATGACTGAATCGCCAAATTCAAAGATATGCACAAAAATTATAAAGAATGCAGCGTATGTCAAAGGTCTGTGCAATTAGCTTGGGCTTACCCTGGGGTTTGGCATGTATCTTAGAAAATTTTTCAAGGAATCCAAAACAGTGGGTGGTGTAGAGTAAAAAATAACATCCCATGTTTGGGCTTATACGCACTGGCTCAATACACGCGTATAGCGCCTGGGTCTTAATCCCCTGGCTTGCAACCACCATGCCGAGTTCATTTCATCATCCAAAATTGCAAACGGCGAGGGCACCTCAATCTTTTTTATCCTTGTCCGTAGATACTTTGGACTATCAATTTCAACGACTCGTCCAACTTTCCGGATTGATTAGCGTTTCTTTTTGCGCAGCACGTAATTTCAGAAAGCCATCTACACACCAGTCCGCATGATACAATTTACCGTGGTCTTTAAATTGTGAGTCGTCTTTTGCTGTAACTCTCATCCACGGCCTTGGCACACTCCAATATACGATAATTTCAACTTCCCAAATGCTTGCCGGCTAACCACGTGCTTTTAAGCTAGCTACCCAGGAAGTGACGTACGCTTCAACCATATTTTGGAAACAGTCCGCTTACTCCTCTGCTTTTTCTATCCATCTTCATATACGATTGCACAACTGGCTACGACACTGGTTGTCAACCATTTAGCTAAAGCGTGTTCCGCATTCGCGTATGGCCACACCAGTTTGCATCAAACGCATAGCGACACACCACTGTCTCTATATAAATGCCGAGTATCGTTTACAAAGTGGGCTCCACTACCGTAGTTGGAAATCGTAACATTTTTAGATGCCTGCTATTCTAGGCAGTAGTCTAACATATACAGTGGTAAATTCTAACAAAATTTCATGACGCTTCTTCACAGTTCTCGATCGAGATACGGTTGTCTTATTGTCTTGTTTAAATAGCATCAATTAACCACACAGTGCCCTTGATTAGCTCAAAAATATCCTTGGTCCTCTTCCGCCACACTGCTTCACGGTTCCGTGATAACTTTAAAAGATTTACGCAACATGTGTGTGCGATAATCTCCCCGGACAACATTATGATATCGCAATGGCGAAAACCATTCACAGTCCAGGGGTTTTCCGACGAAGCATGCTATGTGCGCTTTTTTCATTTGGCTGAATTTTTTTTAAAATCCTTCAAAGTATTAGCCACCATGCTGTACTGTCTGCTCGTGCTCCGTACAAACCCATCAATCCTACACATATTGCATGCGAAGACTCAGTAAGCACCGAAGATGCCAGATGTGCTCGTCATAATCGGGTTGCAAGGGAACTTGCAAAACGTCTCCGTCGACAGGGGTACACCGTCTTCGAGGAGTTGAGAGCCCCTACTCCTACGTCGTTCATCAAACCTGACCTAATCGCTGTTCGAGATCGCCGTGGAACTGTAATAGACGTCAGCATAGTCTCGGATGGGCGTGGAGTGATAGTGTGGAATGAGAAGAAGCAGAAGTATGGTGCTGATGAACATTCCCTCGCCATAATCTCAGCCCCACATGCCATCGGTTGTGATATCGACTTTTTGTTTCACCAACCGATGATCATCTCTTATCGAGGGATCTGCTTTCCTCAATCCGCTAAGGCTGTTATTGGACTGGGACTTCCTAAGGTCGCAGTCAGTGACTTGTGTTTGCTTGCCATTGTGGGCTCCCTGCGTATTTATGACACTTTTAGGCGTGGCACATGGCGTTGAAAGTACATTTTTGCCATTTAATCTCACACCAGACCCAGTATGATGGTCACTTTGTGCCTGATGTGCGAGACTCGACTGTGCTAGCGCACACTGCGCCTTGAAGAGCATTCACCATTGTTTGTTCTTTCTTTGGTTGTTGGTCCTTAGACGCGTGTTCCCATACCAAAATCTTTACATACTTTGGGATTCACCTCATCAGACTGGAACAGTTCTTGGCATGATCTCGAATGAGACGTTTCTCTATTTTCTCCCATATTCTCCTGTTACTCTTTCGCATTCATCGCTTGCACTCACTTTTTATGTTTGTGACCATGCCCCTCAAAAATAAATGATAATTGCCGTTCGCCCAACAGAACGTTGTCTGACCATCATTAGAAAAATCTGCCCACCTAACTGCCTGCCAGCTATTTCCTGGGGGTGTATAACTGAACACTTCTTATGACAATGGGGAAGATGTTCCCGCATAGGTCGCAAATAGCTGCCCCCTTTTGCGTTTGCATGGTAGCGCACGACCTATTTACTGTTTATGTAATCTTGTAAAACATTTACAAATCCAACGTAATAGGAGGCACGTGAAAATATCGAATTTTCCACAGAAATCCCCACCATCGCCATTGTGCTGGGCTCAGAGTACTCGACTCAGGTTTTGGACCGGACAGTGAACATTTCAAGGCCTTGTCATCGCTAGTTCCTCGCGCGTTCTGGACCTCTGCGGAATAATGCTAAAATAATCCGGCGATTCATCATAAATGAAGAGAATGGTGCCTAGTATGCCAAAGCCAAGTATACGGCATACTAAAATGTTGTCATGTAAGCTTTTATTGTGATTTAATGATCTGAGGTGCACATGACACAATAGTTGGGAAACAGTGAGGGAGAGGAGATGCATGAGTGCTTTCGGCATAGTGATTTTTGCCCCTCCATTAATTTGATATCCCATTTGCAAGACTGCCAGCGGGTAACTGTGACATTACGGACACCGACATAGTCTTTTTGCGTAGAAATATGAACAGAAGTCCAATGAAGTGCTTGCGCCAACTGTCTGTTACGTGTTCATGGTTTATGAGTGCGTACATGACCACCACACTGGAACATTAACAAGCGCGGCCAACGGGGCGTCGACAATTGTCCAAAGCACTTGTTTTCAGGTACGCCGACTCAGGCTGGTGGTCCGTCATCCGGGCGATCCACCAGGACCGTTGCATTCTAATGGTTAATTTTACTATGCAACATTCGCACTACCTGTGACGGTCCAACCAGTAGGTTTGCGCAAATGGTCGCCATATAAATTAAAGACAGAAACACGTAGATTCTAGTTTGTTGAGACGTTTCGAATCTTCCATTGAAATCCTTGACTACCTCCGGAATTTACTTGGAATCGGCTCTATAGGTGGTGATGGTTAGCCCTGCGCAACAAACTGCACTGCTTTGGCAATCCTGTTTGAGGTCTGGAGAGAACATGAGAGAACTGCAATATCTGCTCCCTATTACGGTAGTTTGCGTTTTTGGCCGCGATCTCCAGTTAGACTCCGTGGTCGCTTGCGAAGTACGGGGATGCAAAAGCTTAATCAACATCTCAGGGTGACACAGGTGGTTACAACCTGTGATAATAACGTTTTGTGATGGTGTTAGTTGTAACGTGTTTTACATCCTTGTCCGTAATCAGTCACAAGTTTTATGATGAATGGGTTGGAGACTGTGCGAACGGTGTAACTGGTGGATAGCCACTACTAATTGTTCTCCATTCTTTCTTTCCTTTCAATACAACTCTTGAATGCAGATCCTGCTCTTCTGTATTTTTGTTACAATCCCTACCGACAGGAATATAATTCCGAACCAGTAACTTCACTTTTTCTGATAATGCAAGTGCCACGCACCCAGACCTTGTGCTGAATTCAACCTTGAGTGGATATCGAATGAGTGGTAAAATTCCCTAGTGTGATTTACTTACACGGGGGATAATACCGTCCGTCGAGCTCTCAAGTGTGTGAGACCACAAATACATATTCCCAGCTTGGCGACATTAGTCATTTCGCAAAATGCTTCATCTTCCACAATGTCTGCTAGGTACGTGGGTAAGGGGGAATGCACAGCAACTTGGTTCATATATTTAGATAGGGCGCACGACGTAATGCTTCCGAGCCGAAGAGAGTAGTCTTTCTTCGCGACTGACCAAGCATATGCCTACACAGTTGACGCTTGCACCGGCAGACATCATTCGCAGTGTGCTCAAGCACAGTGGACTTCATAATGTTTGGACGCAGTTTACCTGACACAGGCGCTGACCAATCTTCTCTTGTGCTTCACTTCAAGCAAGTTGCCCGTAACAGACAAGTTAGCCACAAACTGCTGCAATCCAAACTTTTTTAGGTGGGCTGTAATGAATTAACTGGCAGAGTTTCCAGGACAGAAAAGCTCAGTAGACTTGGGCTATCAAGACCATACATCTTGTGCGTCCTCTGGACGTTCCACCCATTAAGAGGGCAGTTGTCGTATGGGCGCCATAAAATCAAAGGGGACAGTCATTCTTCAAATTTAGGGATTAAATCCCCATGGACGGAAGACGAAAAGAAATCTCATGGGCCTACTTTCAGTAAGCTAGTTTGCACGTCACCAATACTGATATATGAATCATTCGAAATGGTAAGCACCGTGTACTCTGTACGCCTAAATATTTTGGCATCTATGCCGTATTTAAATAAATGGCCATAACCGTTTTTTCCCACACAGAACCTTAAGGCGAATGGTTGTGTGTTGTGTGCGAATGAGGAATAAGCAATGTTCTCCATCATAATTGTAGCCACTGGTGTTTATCCACCTGCTGCGAAAGATGCACCGACAATTTCATTATTAATACCCGGAGGTGACGCAGTCAGTAGTAAGCCAGAAATTATGAAATGCAAGTTATGTATCTAATGAAACTAAACCGGGGCCTTGGCAGTGTCCACATCCAATGAACGGTTTAAATAGCATTTAACTGCGGAGAATAAAACCAGTTAAAACCGGAGCAATAACGGCAACATCTTAACGTCTGTTTGCCAAACTCTAATGGTTTCGACGAAGACGGACGATGACAAAGGTCAACTCAGGCAACGCTAAACTGATGCTAGTAAAAAACTTTCTGCGCCAAATACACCAGGAAATGGGTTGCTGTAAATTTCCATCACTTACCACCCAAAGATGTTTCCATGCTACCCACAAGAAGGCCCGATGTGGACCTTCAATCAGCCGGGACCTAATTTTTAATGCTCCTACAATTGAGAGTTCGGCCGATCAAAAAGAATAGCGCCGGAAGAAGCGAGATCACGGCTAGGCAATTTCAGCCACTGAAAATAATGATTCGGTGCCTAAAGTACACCCAGAATACGCTTTAAACAGCTTTCAGTGAAAGTTCTGCACTACAGTCAAATGCTAAATCTGTTTAAAAGTTTCATCTGTTGAAGCTACTTTCAGGAAGTCTTGGATTCCTCTCTGTTTGTAAAGACCCTTGATCCAGTAGATAGCGACGGCGGTGTGACAAGTGTGAAAGATAGGAGCCTTGGCTGAAGGACGGTGACAAAGTGCACATTAGGAAAGGTACACCTTAGGAAAGAAGGAAACAAGGAAGAAGCACATAGTATAATTTGTTAGCGTAGCTAACAGCCATCACTAATTCAAAAAAATGAAACTCAAGTTAATAATGATCTCATTTAGCTTAAATATACTGTGTAGAAAAAGACAGTAGGCGTTACTATCAAAACTATGAAACAATTAAACTTCGTACGAAAGCTCATCTGGACTGTGATCTTTCGCATAATCCGAGGGGTTTTATCATTATATGCAGTCACCTGCCAGGTTACGGAAAGAGAAGGCATGAACATTGGAAAGAGTTCCCGACAATATCTAGAAAGAAATGTGGTAAGGAAAGTTTCATCGTATGTGAGTTGAGTTGTTCATAATTGTCCCCTTAGATAGCCTCCAATGATTAGCAGTATTTTACCAGGAATATTTATGGGGGCCCGCATTGCTTCCAACAGCGCTACGTAGATCTTTTTCGTTTCTACTTATAAATTGACCAGATCAGACAAGCCACAGCCACGACTGTTGCGGGTGCTGGCATAGGTTTGCACGGAAACACTACCTTTGTTCTTCAGGTGCTTTCTAGTTGGAGGGACTTGCCCCAAACGCGGGATGAGAACCAAAAATAACCCCTTCCTCAGGAATACTGGACCATATGAGGAAACGATGTTTTACCCAGTAGGTCTGAACAGCCCTTTGGGGCAAAAATAATACTTCGTAAAGCGGTTACTCAATGGATTCCGGAAAGCCGTTCGTCAACCCGTGTGCTCCTTTGCTTCGTGAAAACAAGTGCTTCTCCGCAGAGTGCGGCGCTAGAACAACAACACATCAGATGTTTTACACCAGGAACTTGACTGATGCCGGCTTCTTCATTCATTCAGCGCATCCAGTTCAGGTGATCGATGTTATCTGTAGCACAATAAACCGGCCATCTCTACGGGCAGACACAGCTTCCTCCATAGACGAATGCCTTGCGGCCTGATGTGTAATTGCGAGTAATGGGTGAAAACTTGCAAGCTGAGGGTTTGTATTAATCGGACATCATGTCATCTGCATAATATGCAGCCGCCATTAAAACGGCACCGGGAAACTTCTTCCGTTAGAACAAAGTGACTACCAATAACCATCGTTAAATATGCATTCCTTGATACTGTGCGTCTGTCCAACTCGACGTCCGGGAATGAGCTCCGTTCCACACGCCAGGTACATTGAGGAAAATGGAACAATGGCAAAATTCATTAAGCAGAGAAATGTTAAAGGAACTCCATAGAACTGGAAAGAACTGGCCTCAGAATGGAAATCCTGAAACTGTTCTAGTTTTGAGAAGTGACGCATACACGGGACAGAATTTCGGAAAAACTTGTGGATATTTCATAGCTCACATTCTCTTAAAATTCAAGTCTGCAGCGAACAGTTACGCTTTGTTTTCTGTGCTGTCCGGTGGTATGCAAGTTCCACAGAATGGAAAATGTACACATTATACATTAGTATCCTCTAAACCTGTTTGATAAAATACAATTCCTTTTCATCATCCGTTAGTAGCTATGGTTTCAAGTTTGCTTCTAGTTGCAGCAGTCTACTACCCGTTATACGCCTAAACAAGTTTGCACCAGAGCGCCTGATGGCGCCGGTTATGCATGCCCGTTAAAAGTATCTTGTAGCCGCGTCCATGCCATCCACGATTCCTTTAACTGAAGCGAACTGGAACGATCGCAAGGCAGCTAACATTGATTTATGATGAGTACGCTGCAGTTGGACAGTTGGCGGGCTGGAATTTCTTTAACCTTAAAAAAGGACTTTTGTTACCTGTTTTTCTGTGTTTTCTCTTCAGGCGCTTCTGTGGACACTTTGAGGGAATAGTTTGGCCTAAAGTTCAACTTGGTGGCTCTCGGAAAATCATCGCTGATTTTGAGCAACTAGGCTTGCAAGTTTGTGGCGTTTGTAAAAATGAAATCCGTACATAAGTTGCAGGCCTAAGGTCCAAGCAAACGTAGACATAGACCACTGAACCGCCGAGGGGCCTAACTTTTAAGACGATAGCTCATGTTATTAAAATGAAGCTCTGAGCCCTGTCAGCCCTGATAAACAGCGTATAAACCCATTCACATGAACGTTAATTATTTTCCCATTGCTATTTAAAAAACACCTGTTGAAAGTGACAGCGTGACAGCCCTAATATGTTGAGCATTTGACACCAGTGCAACAGTGTACACTTATGATAAGGCATGCCAGTGGTATGTAATTTTCTTTTTATTCTGCCTTGATATAATAGGAGGTGGGATTTGTTACAGAATTTTTGGAATCGCTTTGCGGCATTCGTTACGATTGCGTGTTGAAAGTGACAGCGTGACAGCCCTAATATGTTGAGCATTTGACACCAGTGCAACAGTGTACACTTATGATAAGGCATGCCAGTGGTATGTAATTTTCTTTTTATTCTGCCTTGATATAATAGGAGGTGGGATTTGTTACAGAATTTTTGGAATCGCTTTGCGGCATTCGTTTACGATTGCGTGATAGTCAATGAATATCCAGGAAAGTTCAAGAAGACGTGTTCACGAGGAAGATCTATATTCGTTTTTTTAAACAAGGTGCATACGAGAGTTTTTCTTTCGTGTTCAATAATAATGTTTTCTAATAAACAACTCATCGGTGAATGGCTTTCCTTATCTCACCAACAGTTGCACCGTCAAAAATCTCCTTTACCTTATGACTGGTTTGTGATGTTTTCACAAAATACAAAATACGAAATGTTTGAAGCTACAGGAGGATATACTGTTTGAAAGTTATTTTCAGTTGGCCCCATTTCGACGTAGTACTTAAATTTAACTTCAAATGAATGGTCAGGTTTACTTTTTATTACGAAAATGTAATGTTGTAATGGTGATTAGGTGACACTATTGTGAATAGAACGATCGTGTGACATCTGTTAGAACGAAGATGGAATGGATGAAATAAGGAGTTTCACAAGGCCAATTGTGGGTAAATAGCGCAAAACACCTGGTAAGAAATTAGTGCTTCCTTAGAGCACATGGCTTCCGAGTGATCAGGCTGTGGATTGGTAACGTATGTCAGCATGGGTATGATAAAACGTATCCATGTGGAAATCCAACAAACATTGCGAGAATGGGACTTATCAGAATAGTTGATCGGCGCAAGGCGCAAATAGTATCAGAGGTAGAGGAAAGGATATGACGCTAATGACGCCTTCCGAGTTGGAGGTCGTACTTTATACAAAATAGTTTTTGGAATCATTTCTGCAGTCATGAGAGAATGTTAATTCTGGTGGATAGATCGTGCGGTGCAAAAGCCCCCTATGGCGATATCCAAAGACTAAGAGACAACACATGCTAAGCTCATTCTGAGGGAGGATGGCGCTTAGCAAGAAAAAACTGGCAGCAGCCCCGATAAAGTACGTGCGTACGTACGTACGGTATCGTACACCCAGGTGGTACTCGTTGCCTCCATTGAAACTAGTGAGATAGGTTCGGGAGCGTATGATTTTCCCCACAAAAGTCTCTGTGCGGAAGATTTGTACAACCATGGACCCTCTGCACTTACCTATAGTCAGTCGATGGTTGTATGATCAGTGAAGTTGGTCGGACTGTAAGTTTATTGGTCGGAGGCGTTTCCGAACGGCTAAAGAATTTATGTTGCTAGTCTTTGGCCATTGAAATCTTTTTACTCCATGGTTGTCCGAATAGGAATGAGTATTGCCGCGTTGGTCAGTGAAGCAGTGGAAGTAGAAGCTGCCGAGAAGGCAAGCACGATGGCTAGTCGTTGAACCAGCTGGTGCGGGCGATAAACGGTAAGGTAGACAGGGAGATGAAGTAGGTTTAGTTCAGCTAAAGGATCAAATCAGAAAGTCTCTACATTTTAACGTGTGCGGAGTTATTGTGAAGAAGGACGGTAGACAGATAACGATCGATTGCACAAGAGCCTTTAAGATTATGGATAGGAACTTTAGTCTAAATGGAATCTACCGCATGAACTGAACAGAAAGATAAGAGCGTGATACACCAGTCGGCTAAAATAAAAAATTGTGCACAGCAAACACAGACAAATGACGCCAGTCGTGACCGCTGGCATTCAGAGAATAACAAAGTCACTACATTTTATATGTAAATGATTGCTTCATATAACAAGAGGAAGGATCGCGTGTTTTGTGTCTGGCTGACGAAGTGGGCTTGGAGTTGTGCAATCCCAATTAAGACGAAGGTGGTGAACCGTGCACGTCAATGTTAGCTGTGCGTCTGACAGATTATCTTCAGACTGCCCCATGCGTTTTTATAGATCAGAGGAAAGAACAGCGATCCTTTGTTTGCATTTCCTGGCTTTGTTAGGAAAATACTGATAGGGACAAGTTGAAACCAGATACAGAATAACTACAGCGGTGCTCTTTTATGGATTTCCTGGATCAGAATTAGCAGTCAAGAAACGTCACCACATCATTTGTTGGAGATAAATGCTTCTCAGCATTTCGTAGAAGAAGTTGCTCTGGGTTCCCATACATTTCTTGGTCTTTATTGAAACAGCGAAAATTACTTCATTTGAAGTCGTCTGTTAGTCATTTTCGCAAACTACTAAAAATACCTCTGTTGCCACATTTAACAATCTGATATCTCCAGCCCAGCACGGATTTCTCCCAAACCGCTGTTGCGTGACAAACATGCTCCTGTTTATGGACAGCTTAACCCAAGCCAGGGACGAAAAACTCATCGGATGCCATATTTTTCGACTTCTCAAAAGCATTTGATAGGGTCCCACACGTCCCGCTGCTCCACAAACTCGAGTCTTACGGGATTCAAGGGAAAATCCTTCGCTGGATCAAGGCGTTCCTATCAGACAGATCATTCCGAGTGAGAATAGGCTCGACCTACTCCTCTCCAGCGCCGGTCTCCATTGGAGTTCCTCAAGGCTCCGTCTTGGGACCACTCCTGTTTCTGATCTACGTCAACGACCTCCCAGACGTTCTTGCGAGTCCATGTTTACTTTTTGCGGACGACTTGAAATCCTGGAGTTCCAATGCCAGTGCCCTCCAAATGGATGTAGACGCTGCCAAGCAGTGGTTGTTGGACTGGCACCTTCCTCTGAATGATGAAAAGTGCGTATATGTGTCGTTTGGAGGGGATTCAGTGAATGCCTTTGTCATGCATGGTGAAAAGGGACCAGAAAACATCATGAGGATAGATGCCAAAAAAGATTTAGGCATCTGGGTCTCCTCAAACTTGTCCTTCGCACTACACCATGAGAAATCGGCCCAAAAGGCATTCGCCGTTTTACGGATGATCCGACGTACCTTCTCCCGTATTACTCGCATGGACTTCCAAATACTCTATGGGGCCTACGTCAGACCGCTCCTGGAGTACGCCAACCAAGTTGTCTACTCAGGACGCACGAAAGACTTTACCCTCATTGAGCGTGTCCAGCGGGCCGCCACTAGACTGGTTGCCGGCCTCAAATCCGTGGACTACGAAACGCGTCTCGCGATGCTTGATCTCTTTCCGCTGGAGTACCGTCGCCTCCGAGGGGACTCAATTCTTACTTATGCCCTGTTTGAACAAAGCTTGGCAAACAGGTTTTTCACCGGTGACCCAGCAAATACACGGCGGGAACATAGTAAGAAAATTTTTAAAGTTCAGAGTACACACATTCATTAGACACAATGTTTTCTCATTCCGGGTAGTAGCTGCGTGGAATGACCTTTCTCCGACGGTTGTCCACGCTCCTTCTAGAACCCGGTTTAAAGCACTATTAGACACTTATTTATCCGAATACTCGCGCTGGCAAGCATACTGCTGAGAACATGAAGAGCACTGCTACACCCTTTTTTCACTAGTGCCTTTCAGGTGAACGACGGCCACTGACCGGCAAGAACAAAACCGACCCGGGAAAATTGGGCAAAAGCCTCGATCCTGCGTATCAGTCCGTGAATCCGTGAACTATGGCAAGGTACTGTTTATCTCCGATGACCTTGTCCGTTAAAAGGCAAACTACATTTGGTGTGGCCAGATTTCTGATATCAAACGAATGTGCTAAATTTCGGAATGGTAACTTATTGGCCATCGCGGGTTTCTCAAACTGCCGTCCGAGGGCCTTTTAATCGCAGTGCTGTCTGCAAAAGGGAGTCACTCCGATTTACCCAGTTTATCGTCTGCAATACTGAAACCGTGCCCCTGTACTGTAAATTTCTATCGGGCTTAAAACGCCGGGTACCATGACTTAAGCCAACTTGCTGTCACGACTAGCATATTCTAAACTCAAAATACGCATTACGGTGGGACCATATGCTTACGCTCTATTGGAGCAAAATGCAACCATTTCAGGGACTTTGGACATAGCCTATGGTGCTTTTGGTGCATAACACTTAGCATGGAAATTAAATCAATTCTACTGGGTACACTTGTCGCCCACCCGAGATGTCACAAAATTTCGGCAGTTCTTTTGGCTGTCTTCCTGAAGCTGAACAATATATGGTTTCGAGAAACTTATGGGTGTGCCTCCAAACTGTTTCGATTATCGGTGGAGGTTTCACAACAAGGTCACGGACCTATGGGTTTTCCCCTACATCCATCGGTCACTCCCTCACTGATGGCCAGAAGTAATCGCTGCAAAGGAGAACGGTCCTTTCGAATAGCGATTAACGCCTTTCCACACTATTTTCTGGCCAAAGTTTTCTAGCTAAAGCACAATAATACACAAAAGTGTCGCTTGGCGTAACAACAGACCATGTCATTGTTCAGGTTCACCCACGGGATTGCAGACCAAGCTCTCCACATAGACCTTGGAGCATGGATAATACCCTGACCGTCTTCCTTGTTGATGTACATCCATTCCTTAAGGAAAGACCGCCAAATTTCCCATTATGTCCCCCCATTGATAAGCACAGTTCCATAATGATCCACTCCTCCTTCTGTTCACCGCTTGAACAATGCAGCCATGTCTGGCTTAAGCAAATGCAGATTGATGGGGATATAACGAGGGACCTCAATCGGGAATGGCGCAATGTAGTCTATTTGAGGAGATTTAGCCGTCAGAGCCTGTCCCATCTTATGTGCTGATATCCGCATGAACGACCAAAAATAAGTGACGCTCTTTGAAACAAAACTTGAGGCAACCTCTTCGTGTTCCCTTAGTCACTTGAAGTGTCCCTTTCTCTAGTGGTTCGACTCAAGCCACACAGAAACCCGTATCAAGATACCGGATCCGGTATACGCGACCCGTTGGCTACAGGGGCTCAGAGCAATTGATAAAGCATCCTGACGCCTATTCACCCTTCTATATTGAGTTGTATATCCAAAACTGGTCTTCTGATAAAAACCGAATATTTCTGATGTCTTGCCTCCTTCCAGAGTGCACTATTTGTATATAATCGTGCACTAATTTTCTTGATAGCATGCACTTGTGAGTATACTTTCAAAAACAGATTCCATTATTCCTGATCCACCCTCCCAAGCGCCACAGGTAGTGAGGCACACATATTCCCACCATTCCAGTCATCACATGAATCTGAATCCTTGACACAAAAAGATCGTGGTCCAGGTGTTTTGGCTTGCTTCCTTCTCCCACACTTCCTGGAGGTACAACAGTAGCTGAATCTACGGTGTATACTGTACCTATTGAACCTGTTGGTTTCACAGTAACACGTTCCCGCGAACTTTTGTGCTCTTATTTCCCCTACAACCATTCCGAACTCGGCGAGACGTTCAAGCCCAATTTTGAACTGAACCGGTATTCTTGTAGTAACTTAAGGTCACGTCAACAACCCAACGCGGCGTTGCGTAATTTGACGCTTCTCGGTAATTTGGTAGATGGTGCAATCTGGGGACTCTCTTCGTACGCATCCCAGTGCTCCTCCCTTGGAGACACAAGGATTTACGGTAGTGGGTTTCCTAAGGCCTCGGTACCGCACCGTTCTGCGTTGTCATAGAAAGAGACCGCATTTACTGCGATTTTCAGGCAACCTAAGCCTGTTGAGTTGCTTCGCAATCTCACTATGCATCGCTGCCTGCATGTACAAATGGGTTGATGAAATTTGTGACAGTGTACCGGTGAATGAAGATGTAAATCACAAGTGGTCTGCCAAAGATCGCCTCAGCCTCGCAAAAGTGAAAGCCATCCTTGAGCAACGTGGTGTTTTTGCCGAGCAACCAGTGGAACGTGATGAGCTGTATGCTTTGCTGACGGTCACCGGTAAGTGGAAAATATTTGACTTCCCGATGGAGTTTCGTTTCAATCGTCGTGTATGTATCCATTCATGAATCGCCATGTTTCGAGTGGAAGAACGGCACTAAAGTGTTCAATCGCCGCATTGTGACAACAACTTCGAGGTTGTATGACTCGATATCCGAGTCTGTTTGAATGATTATTTCAGGTTTTCTCAACTATCTGTCTGTAGCGGATCCTCCTGATGGTTTGGGAAGATTGGTGTGAAATTAGGAAGCTTTACAGGATGATTCAGTTAGTGGTTATTGGCCATAGCAGAGTTTATAACCGGAGAACTCACGCCGCCTTGATGTGTTCGCTTCGGCGGGCCGAAATCCGCGCATTTCCGCACCAGAAAATGGAATACCTTAACCGAAAGTGGGGGTCAGCGGCGCGTTCTCGGAACCGAGACGCCATTGGTGCTGTCCATGAATAGGCTGGTTCTGTTTTCAGACTGATTACAAACACGCGAACTCACCACCAGATTTCTCCCACAGGAGTTGCCTCTTATTCGCAAGCGATGTAAAGCTACGGAGGGAAGTAGGCTCCATCAAAGACGGTTTTAAAACGGGTCTCAACAAGGGTACAATTTCGTTCGAGAATTTAACATGCCCATTAGTGCTGAGAAAACTGGGCTAATTCTAGTGTGCCGGTTGTATGGAACTAGCGACTACAGTATCTTGGGGAGACTATTCCAATTGTGCTGGGGATATGAGAAGAGACGAACTTACCGTGGTGTGACAGTTTGCGCACCTCATTGAGCGACTTTGGGGGTTGTCCCCACGATAGTCACAGAGTCTCTTGTACCAGGTTGTCAATGGTTAGAGTTCTGACGAACATAATCTATTGGTTCTCCAGGTTGGGCGTTGGAGTATGTGGCGGCAATGTTGGTGCTTCTGCATCTCCAAGCAACCACTCCCGCCTTATAGTTAAATTTTGAGTCAAAGGCTTTAGATGAGGACCATATTCGTCTCTCTGTCTAGGCGTGGACATTCTGATAGTATCCCATCCCAAGTACAACCATTATACCAACGTCTAACAATAAACGGATGCCTAACCGTCCGTTGTGAGGTGCCCTCGCCTTACTCGCTGCATACAGCAGGGCGGATAAACGAAAACAGGATATTGCTGACGCCTCTCTTCTTCCTCTTTCAAATACTCCCTTTCTCAACCCCAATAATAAATCCCTTGTAGACCGAACACTTAGGACTGATAACTTTGTTCCTCTTACATCGGTTTCGCATGCTACATCTGAGCCTCATCCGGCGCTGACATCCTCAGGCATCTCGAAATCAGTATTCAAGACTCGACTCTGGCCGTCTTCAATGTCGGCACTCTGAAGCAAGCAGGTCAACAAGCTGCCAGTCCCGCCACACTGGACTCGCTTGGCATTAATGTGTGCCGTTTATCTGAAACAAGAATTGAAGATGCAAACACTGTGGTTGATCTAACCGCCCCATCACTCTCCACTCTCTTCCGGCTGCGCACCTCTGGCGATCCGGAGGCTGTTGCGATAGGCTATGCGGGTTTCTAAGTCACCGGGCGGAAGTATCCTTGCTTGACTAGATACCCTTTGGCGTGCGCGATTTGTCTGGCAACATCCTTTAAGGGGTCACAAGCGAGAAGTTCAACAATGTCTGTTTATCGTGTCTAACTACGCCTCAACTGACTGTAGCTCCGACGTCGTCAAAGGCACGTTTGACAACTCCCTGAATGCCCTGTTGCGGTGAGCTAAAAGCTCAGATATGGTTGTGGTCGCCAGAGATCTGGATGCACAAGTGGACAAGCTTTACGTATTTGAGACAATTAGGAGGACGACATGCATTGGATCAGGTACGTGCGGACAATGGTGAACGATTGCTTCAGTTATGTGCTGACTGCAGGCTGTTTTTATGCCGTGCTTACTTCCAAAATGGCCGAAGTTTTCAGGCTATATGTTGTCCTCCAATGGCATGCCACAAACGCAAGTCGGTCACATTGCCAGTTACTGACGGCGTGGATCCATAGCTGATTGCCGTTCGTTTTGGAACATATTTTTGGATTCTAACCACGCGTTCGTCCGGAGTTGCTTCTCCCTTCGTTTTCCAGGGCCTCGTAAGATGCAGGAAAATAGCCTGGCAACAAAAAGACTGGTTGTTACGACTAGGATATCGATTCTGATTGAGCGCGAGAATAAGAATGAATAGCTTTTTACTTGTCTAAGAGTAGACGTACATAAGCTGAAAATGAAGGCGAAAACATGGTTAATACAAAACGATAATGTGAGCACAAAGAATATTCATGACATTCACCCTGGCTGTTGGATTGTGTGTAGAGAGGGATAAATTACGTACAGGTATTGGATGAATGCTTGTAAAAATCTAATGAGTAATAATGAGTGTGGTTAGGCTTCTCGATTTCTTAAAATGTACGCTGCCGTGTACGCTGCTGGAGCCTGGCTAAATCAGCGATGCTAGGGTCATATGTATCTGGAGATGCAGGTGCATTGCCCGGGCATGGGGGTGAGACTGAAGTATGATCGATATTATCTCCAATGTTATTGAGCGGAGGCGTGTGCAAGTCAGATAGAGGGGGTGCATGAACACCATTGTCTTCATTATATGAGGTACGCGTGAAATCGTTGACATGTGTGCGATCACCACAATAAGTGAGATGACGGACGGATACAGTGCTTTCTTTCCCGCCGGGAAAACGAACACGGGCGTAATGTGGATTGCACTTTATAAGTTGGACTTCCTCAACGACGGGCTCATACTTTGAGGCACGGTCAAATCTCTTC